TATATATTTGTCAACGCGTTTACATTAGTCACTCCTATGCGGTCATTTTCCTAGGTTATCGGGTGATGAAGAGTAGTGTGTTTGTAAGATAGTTTAAGTGAAATTTTGATAGATTGAGCGATCAGGTGCAGAAGTTGAATAGCAAACTGTGGTAGACTAAGAGTGTGAAACATGTACCACACCCCATCTGATTATCTTAATTATTTGAATTGAAAAGGCTTCTAGCTTAAAATGTTCCATTTGGGGATCTTTATTCTTGGTCGGAAAACAAAGTATTTTCAGAATTTGATTTCCGCAATGTTTCAGAATCACCGAGCCATCTTTGTAAGCGGAAGATAGCAGCGTTGTTGAATAATCTAAAGAATCAATTCTGAAACTTTTGGAAGGATATTCCCAAATTTATGCAGTGGTTAAACATTTTGTGATTTTAGGATGACCTCCTATGGTGATTGAATGTTCATTTATATCTCAACTTCATTCACTATTTTTGGTTCAGCATTTCTTTCCTTGGCCAACTTAAGTTGCACGTGGTCCAGGAAATTTCATTTTACCACTTTTTTATGCAAAGATTGAGTGGAAAGATTGATAGCTGGTTTCCGTTCTTGTTCTGGTGCATTCGTCAAGTCTTTTAATTACTAGATTCTTTCTTTGCTGCCAAACCATTTTTTCTCCCTTATTTTAACTATTGGGGCAGGCTCTCGCTTTCCTGTTGATGTGTGCTTTCCTATTCCCACAGTTCAATCTTCACAGAAAGCTATCCCAGCACCCCCAGCAAACTTTAAACTGAGGGAGGATAATATGTCAGGAAGCTCAATTAAAGGTGGATTTTTGGTTTCAAGTTTGCTTCATCGTATAATTGGCAATAGGAACTGAAAAAGGAAAAAAAAAAAAAAAACTATATGGCTGCATAACAATTTTGCCGCCATTTTTACTTGAATCAGCTATCTAAAAGTGACACTTACAAGTCTGAGAGCATATTTGTAAAAATGCTCCAATCATTAGTTACATGCTACACTGCAGCAGGAATAATTTGGATACTTTTGAATTTTGAATTACTATTGCCTCAGGTAAAAATGCTTGAAACAGTTGAACTGAAACGAATATTTTTTTATTGTTTACTGGTGTTCACCGGGAAATATGGCTTAGCTATACTTTGATTTTTCAGCCCCAAGGTCATTTTTCTCGCTATCAACATTTCGGAGTAAAGGAAGCGACTCAAAGCCTAGATGATCTTTTCCTGACTGTATATTCATGGTACAAATGCTTCGGTTGCCTTTCCAAATACAGCAGTAAATCATTTTGTTGATGTAACATATCATGGTATGTGTTTCTTCATGGATTTATGCGCTTTCCAGGGGGACTTGGTTATTTCTTGTAGATTCTGAGTAATATTGTGTTGTATATTGTAACGACTTCATAGTCCCAATTGGTGGAACAATGAAGTGATTTTGGTAGCTAAAGCATTCTTTTGTGAATGACTCGTATTCGTGATGTGTTTGTACATGAAAAACACTTGCTAGATTTGAATATTAATTGCATGTATAAATTTTGAAACCGCGGTGTAAACTGTCAACAACTTGCGGAATATGGCTGTTTCGCCAAGTAATTTTATCATGGTCAATAGTTCATCTGGTTAAAAGTTTATCTTGAGGTTTACACAATGAAGATGTTTTTGCTTAGATAAATAACCAACCTCTGGCCATTTTATGCCTCCAAAAGTTAGGATGGCCTGGTCATAGTATTATTCTGTTTGGCAACAATAATAGAACAAAATCTAATTGAAAAGCTAGCAGATAATAGATAAGTTGTTTAATAATTTTCAAGTGAATTTTGAGCTTCTAGCTTATGGTTGATAACTGATAAGTTTTCTGAAAAAAAAATTTCCTAGATAGCTACCTAGAGGATTCATCCCCTTTTT